AAATTAACTAAGCGATATATTAATTGATGGGTGTTATATGATTTTGAATAAACAATCTGAAAATCGATCCATTTTCTAACTTTCCTTTCTATAATGAATAAATCGAGAACTTTCAGAAATCTTGCATAATTAAATATCGTATTTGGAAATTTTACATTTATTCCATATTCTTTCAAACCAAATTTTTCGTTTTCGTCAAGATATGAAAAGTATTGAGAAATGAATAATGGATCTTGATCAAATGAAAACGGATTTTGCCAAAGAATAGGTATTGACATTTTGCACCAATGTCGACTCACAAGTGCGCATGAATATAAAGAATAACCTTCATTATTTAAATTTTTAAGAATATTTTCCATCAACTCGGGCATATCGCCCATAAATATTTTTAATGCCATGAATTTATTTTACGTTGTATCAACGAGAAAGAATTAAGTTCCGTATTGTCACACGTACGTACGCATATGTAAAATATTTATACAGTAATAAAATATACTCGTACAGTGTAATATGTGTAACAGGACAGGATTATTGAAGTAACATGACGTACATACATACGTACCAGTACGATCACATGAAATTGAGAGGGATGGTTTCGTTAAATTTTTGGTCGTGGCTAGTGATAAAATCGATCTACAATTATACAACGCAGTAGAATTGATACAACTCTACAAAGCAGTAGAATTGAGACAGTTCTACATGTAGAATTGACGTAACTTTCACAGTCCACAAGTGTTGAATTGTAGAATTGATACAATAATAATTTCATTCGAGTTGACAACAAGTCAACAGATAGAAAAGACAACTAAGCGATAATCCCGATCCTGATAAGAAAATCCGGTATAAACAGGACAAAGATAGATAAAATATAATGAATTACCAATTCAAGGTTTATAGCGCGATTACTAATATAACCAAATTTGGTATGACAATAGCAAGATAAAACAAAGGATCGTCAGGGTGGCCTACAAAGGCGAAGAAAATTCGCACCCTCCCTGAACAGAATCCTGCCATTTTTTTGGCAGATTACAGCCGGCCTACATTACACAGATGGGAGATCACCGGCTAAGATTATGCATTGATAATTTGACCGCAAAACTTCTGGCCCGCTTTATGCGGGTGGACTAATGCCAATTATACATCGATTGCACTGATGTATGCTATATCTCTCTTCAATTATACTGATATATACTACAAATCTCTTTCAATTATACATCAATTGCACTGATGTATGCTATATATCTCTTTAAAGCAATTTAATAAAGTTTAATATCCAGCGCTATTTGCGTTGGAATGCGTCCAGCTATTAAGTCACATGCGTGCGGTTCTTTTCGATACATTAGCTGCCCGATACGAAAGTATCGGAGCAGCTTTTTGTCTCGAATCGATCACGGGTGTATGTTTAGCCGGGTACCGTGATTTGACATGTGATTTACGTCATTTGATGCTTCGCAGTGATTTTTTGTATGATTTCGATTGATACATTATCGTGATTTGTCGTATGATTCGTATTGTTTGACGTTTTGACGTAGTAATTGCGATTAGTAATCGGTAGTAGTATTTAGAGGGAACTGATTTTTTCCCACGAAAGGTATCTTCTGTTTTTTCTGCTAACCCGACTTTGTCTGGTTTTTTCGTGCTATACCTGTTTTACGCTATACCTGTTCTACGCTATACCTGTTTTTACGTTTTACCTGTTTACCTTTTTACCTTTTACTTGGAAGTAAATTTTTATCTTTACGAAATAAACGATTAAGTTAGTTTTACATAAAGTAAAAACCTTTTTCGTGTGGAAAGTTATTTGATTTCTTAGCTTTCATTGTTGCACTTATGTCGACGGTTAAGGAATCGGACCCGGTTGGTTTGAACGACGTTTCGGCGCAGCTCGACACGGCGCAGGCGAGTCTAGAGTCGAATTTTGAGCGTTTGTCACTGGAGGCGTTAAGAGTGGTCTGTAGAGGGATGGGTATTTCGGATTTGGGACCGAAAAAGGAGGTTGTGGCTAGGTTGGCTAAAGAAAGTAAGGCCCGGTTGGGACCGGAAGTGACTGTCGGTGATCCTGAGCCTCTTGGTAAGGAAAAGAGCGTGCATCTACAGACCCCTCAGAATCGGACCGAAGGGTTTTTGGACGAGTTGGATGTGTTTCAGGGGGTAGGTGATGGGCCACAACAGTTAAGGGCAACGGCCGAAAACTCTCACGGCAATTTTGGGAGACAGCCGGTTTTAGGCCCGGATCCGACTCAGAACGGACCTTATCTTAAAAGGGCTCCGAGTTGGACGGCTGATTTAGATGCCTTGATGTTGGATGACATGGACCGTAAGAGCCTTTGGGAGAAGCGAGAGTTGACGAAGCAGCGTAACCAGTTTGAGTACAATGAATTGTGCAGAATAGGCACTCTGCTCGACAAGGCTTTGATGTCTGGAGATGCGACTTTTGTTCGTATGGCGAGGCAAGTGGTGTTGGAGAGGGCGTATGTGGTGAGGGTAGCCGATGAAGATGGTTGGAACGTTGCGTCAAAGATGGTTTCCGAGGATGCTTCGGATTTGATGTCGGAATTGCTGGGTAGTAAGCGTGAGAGGGCCAGGTTGGCGGCCCAGCATTTTACGAAGCCCAAGAAGTCGAGATCAGCTTACCAGCCTTGTGGGGAACAAACTCAGGCACAAACACAGGCCCCTGTGTTTCAATTAAGCAATGTTCCCTTGGCGCAGTTCACACCAATGCAGCCTTTTTTGCAGCAGCCGGGGTTCGGTCAACAAGTTTTGAACCAGCAGGCAGTTCCGCAAGGTCAATTCGGAGGATTTGTGCCCCTACCTGCTCAACCAGTTCAAGTAGGCCCTCAGTTTGTGCAAAACGGGAGACATCACCAACAGCACTCTAATTCAAATGTTGGTATGCCCCCTTAGTCCGGCAACAGTCTTACTCCTCTTCGCCCTTTTGGCCCAAAAGGGATGATAGGTATAGAGGGTCGAAAGGAAAAGAAGTTGTTTGTTACCTATGTGAAGGAAAGGGCCATTTCGCTAATGAGTGTGGTTCTAGGAAGTACTTGGGGTTGCCCTTTCGAGGTGATAAATCCCAGCCGGGAAATAGCTGACTACGCCCGGGCGGTGTTGAAGGAAAAGGTGGCGGTTTCGGAGGAGTGGGTAACCGGGAGTATTCACGGTTGTGCGGCGGTGAAGTATTGGGAGGAGGTGATTCGGCCTTCTCAGTTGGTGTTGAAATGGTTAAAGAAAGGGATACCTTTGTTTCCAAGAAGTTTAGTACGTCTGTCGGTTTGCCCGGACCCAAGGCCCTATCGTTTTACGAAGGAGGAGGAGTGTTGGTTGGAAATGGAGTTGAAAAGGTTAGAAGTGTCGGGAGCGATTACGAAAGTTGGCGAGGGAAATTATCGTCCAGCGAGTCTTTTGGAGGTGAGCCCGGTGTTTTTGGTCCCAAAGCGGGGACCTCGAAAGTTCCGTCTCGTGATCGATCTACGAAGGTTGAATCAGGCCTTGCCCCAGAAGTCCTTTCGTTTCGAAGGTCTGGGAGGCCTTTTGCGTACAATCGGAAGGGGTTGGTGGGCAATATCTTTCGATTTGAAAGATGGTTACCATCACGTTCTTATGAATCCCGAGGCTCAGCGGCTGTTGGGTTTCGTCGTTGCGGGAAAGTGGTTCCAGTACAATGTGTTGCCGTTCGGACTGAGTCAGGCCCCCTGGGTGTTTTCAAAGATAATGAGGGCTTTAATCGGCAAGTGGCGGGCCCAGGGTGTTTATTGTGGCAACCACCTGGACGATGTGTGGGTTGCGCACCAGCTAAAGGAGGTGTTGTTGGAAATAAGAGAAAAGGTGATAGAGGTGGACCTGATAGGGTGTGGTTGGATTCGGGCCGAAGAAAAGGGGTGTTGGGACCCGACCCAGGCTATAAAATTTTGCGGGATGATTGTGGACACGTTAAACGGTGTGGTGGTGGCCCCGGAGGAAAAGATAAACTCTACGGTGGTTTCGTTGGAAGCTCTGTTGAAAGTGCCTACCGTTTCGGCAAAGAGTTTGGCATCGGTTGCGGGAAAGGTAGTGAGTCTTGGAAGGGCCTTTCTTCCGAGCCAGGTGAAGTGTATGGAGTTCTACAAGTTGATAGATTCAAGGAATCGACTTGTTTGGCAGTGGGAAAACGAGGTCCGTTTAACGCCTCAGGCAATCGAGGATATTCGTTGGTTGACGGAGAACTTGAGGAAGTGGAACGGCCGGCCAGCCTGGAAACCTTGTCGGGTAAGGTTGGTATACGTCGACGCCTCAACGAAGGGTTGGTGTGGTGTTTTCCAAGAGTTCAGGGCGGCGGGAAGTTGGTCGCAACCCCATGCCGCAAATGTGATAGCGCAGTTAGAGTCTCTAGCAGTGCTTCGGGTACTTCAGTCCTTCAAGGAGTTGTTGAGAGGAACGTGGGTAGCGCTATTCATCGACAACAGGGTCGCTTTGAAGACGGTGATGGGTGGAGGTCCGACGGACTGGCAAAAGGTTATTACCAGAGAAATTTGGGAGGTGTGTGTCGAGGCCGATATTGGGATTTTCAGCACGAGGTGGGTCCCAAGTGCTCTAAATCCGGCGGATACTTTGACGAGGGTGTTGGATCAAGGAGACTGGGTGTTGAGTTCGGAGGTAACGGCGCAGCTGGAACGGGTTTGGGGGTGTTTCGAGGTGGACAGGTTCGCGAGCCACCTGAACGCAAAGACCCGGAGATTCAACAGTCTTTATTTCTGCCCTGGGTCAGAGGCGGTAGACTGTTTTACCCAGGACTGGGCCGGGGTAAGGAATTACGTGTGCCCCCCTTTCTGTTTAATTCACAGGGCTCTGAGCCATGCAAGGGAATGTGGGGCTTGGATTGTGGTTATAGTTCCGGTATGGGTCTCAGCCCCGTGGTGGCCCCTTGTAGTGAACTCGCCAAGGGAAGAAATCGAGTTGCCTCCGACAAGCGAAATTGTGGGACCAGGACCTTCGGGGAACCTGGAGCCGTGCAAAAACGACCAATGGGTGTTGAGAGCAATACTTCTGGATTGGTCGAAAAGCTCTTAGTTAGGGCAGAGCATTTAATGGACAGTTCTATTAGCTTGGTGTATAAAAAACGTTTGTTGAAAGCACGGGGCGTTTTTGATAGTTTCTCGAGTTGGATTGGCTTGGCTCCGTATCCGGCGTCGAGAGATTTGTTGGCAGCTTTCCTTGCCTGGATGGAGTTGTCGGGTAGGACGTCAGAGATCCAAACCTGCCTGGCCGCAATAGCAAGGGAGCACAAGGTGAGGGGTTTGGAGGACCCTACGAAGTGTAGTTCGGTCCGGTTAATTGTGGAAGGAATTAAAAGGACGGCCTCCCAAGAGAAGGTCGAGGCAAAATGGCCTAGAGACCCTCTTCCAGTCGCGGTAATCGAGAGGTACGTTGACCACCCTCCGCTCGGGGTTAGTGGGTTGATGTGGGCTCGTGATTTGGCATTAGTTGCCTTGGGGCTAAGGGTTATGCGTAGACCCGGTGAGCTCTGTAATTTGAGAAGGTCTGATGTTGTTGAGAAGGACGGGAAGTTGTGGGTTAGGGTCTCGAAGTCGAAGACGGATCAGTTAGGGAAAGGCAAGTTTATTCCGGTAGAGAGGTCTGCGAGTAGGGTATGCCCGGTAAAATTGTTGAGTTACTATTTGAGGTTAAGACCGGTTACGCCGCCGGGGAACCCCCCTTTTTTTGTCTAGGAATGGGGAAAAGTTATCTGTGGCAGCGGTTTCAGCAATAGTGAAGCGTTTTGCGGATAATGCTGGGCTGCATGGGAGGTACACAGCTCATAGTCTAAGGATTGGCGGTGCAACCGCGGCTATGAAGGGTGGTATGTCGATGGAGCAAATTCAGTCTATTGGTGGCTGGTCTTCGGGAGCAGTTCAGGTTTACATGAGAGCAATCGGTACCGCTGAATTGGGGGCCTCTAAACTAATGGGCTTTGTGTAGGACTAAGGAGATGTAGCATAATGTCCCTGCCCTCTTCCTTTTTTGTCGATGCTCTGCAAGACCCATAGCTGTTTTTCATTTTGTCTTTCATTTGGTTTTTCATTTTGTTTTCCATTTTGTTTCTCGTGTTCGCTTTG